AGCAAATTATCTAAAATCTCAGTGAGTGCCTGGGAGTCATCCTGTAATTGACCACCATTACCCTTAACAGCCTCGAATAATTTCCCTGCAATCATCGAAGGTCTTCCAAACCTTTGACGTAATATGCTCATAGCCTCGTAGTAGCCCTCTTTTGGCTTCATAAACTTACAGCACTGTATAGCTCTTGCAGCATCTCCAGTGCAATATCTCATCAAATACATTAACTTCAATTCATCATTTAATAAAATACCACTCAACATGATCTCAAACTCCTTTACAAATTGTAAATAATCAGCTGGGTTTCCATCAAAACACCGTGGTTCTAATTTAGGGAGTTTGATGTTCCTATTATCCCTGAACGGCGAAACAGTAACATCAACCATATCATGCTTAACATCAGACACATCGTTACAATTAACAGACAAGTCATCATGACTTACTTTCCTGTTTGCATCCAAGACACTCTGTCCCTTCTTTGACCCAGGGATTGTTGAACTTGACCCAATTCCAAAACAGTTCCAGATATTGCTTGTTCAAAGAGGACTTGACCGGCACCAGGAAAAATGAACGGCGACTATCCAAACTTTCACCAACTGTTTCAATCCGCCAGATCTGTTTCCATCGTCAGAAACTGTCAATCACGTCTCATAAACCGTTAATGCCCAGCTCTCGCTACGCTCGGGCCAACGCTGTTCTTCGAAGATTTCGGAAACGCTTAGTTATAAAAGACGAAAAAACCAAAACACCGATTGGCCGGTTGATATTTGTTTATTGTTACACCAACATATAAATGGAATAAGTAGAGTAAGTACAGTAATAAATCACAAGATTACTTCTGACGATGTTTCACTCTTCTTTCTGAACAGCGACCGATGAGACGATGACTGTCGTATTGATGCCTCCGCGAAAATTGGGGAAGTTGATTTTGAGCAAACAACCAAGAATTGATCGTTCAATCTCCAACACCATTGACAGAAACTATTGTGAATAAAGGGTTTTTCACTATCAGGTAAGATAACTTTAGCTAAGTTTTTACAGGAATTCATATACCTATTGACAACAGTGTCATTTTGTTGAGTCAAACGGATATCACTGACCCTACTTACAGCCCTCAATGTTCTTCGTAGTGTCATATGGTCTTTCTTGATTAGCCCAGGGAAGGATAATGGAGAACAATAAAGTATGATGGGAAAACACATTTAATAATAAATTGTATGATAAGAGATTGGGTTATACCTGAGTGTCTCAACTTTCTTATGTAATAAGTCAGACGGAAATCTTTCTTAGAAACTATAAGCATATGAGACGACCAGCAAAGGTTTGACGAGAAACTAATTCCAAGATAAGAAACAGTTGACTTACTCTCTATCATGGTACCATCAATATTACAACAACCATGAGATTGAATCAATCCATGCATGTCTTTTTCACTTCTCAAGCTGAAATCAACAGTGTTACATTTAGTTGGATTTAGTTTAAGTCCATTTGAGCCAGACCAATCCTTAACTTCAGCTAAGAAGCCATTCATATGGGAACAATCCGATGTGGAAACTACAGGGACAGAAACGGTCAGATCATCAGCATACTTAATGAAGTTAACTTTGGGCGAGTTCGGAAGGTCATGCAAAAAGAAAGAGAAAGGAAATGGAGAAAGTACTGCACCTTGAGGCACACCACTTTCAGTTAGCTGAGAAGTGGAGCGCTTTCCAGCCAAAACAGTATGCTGTTTCCTATCCTTAAAATAAGAAGACAGCCATCTAGTTGCCCAGGACTCTGTGCTGAATTCATCTTTCCTAATAAAAGTGTCCTAGGAACAGAGTCGAAAGCTGCAGTTTAGTCTAAAAAAGCTGTTCGAACGATTTTAGCGCCCTTATCAAGGCAGGAAACAATATTGTGGTGTAGTACAATGGCTGCATCTAATGTACTTCTTCCACACTTATAGGCAAACTGCTAAGGGCCACTAAAAGCTTTTAAAGAAGGTTTAAGAATATTCAAAAGAAGTTTCTCCATGGTTTTCAAAAAAGGAGATGTTATAGCGATTGGTCTAAACTTTATACCTGCTCCAGAAGATGATTTCTGTACAGGTACAACCTTGATTTCTTTCCAGTCAGCAGGTACCGTTTCCCTGTTAAATGATGCGTTAAAGATTTGAGTAAGAGGATGACACAAGATGTCTGCACACTTTTGAAGAAGAATGCTTGGTACACCATCTGGACCAAGGCTGTGTGTTGGATTTAATGACTTCAAACATAATAGTACATCCTTTATTTAAAACCCGGAAAATGACCATTTTCTTGACTAGGTACATCAGGTACAACCATATTAATTTGTTTCTTGATAAATGATTTGTTTAAAGCATTAACATCAGAATAAGCATCAACGGACATTTGTTTTCTACTTGTAAGTTTATTGAAAAGTTTCCAAATGTCTGAAGGATTTTTACATGATAAAAAGTTTTCGTTATATAGTCTGTTCAATCTTTCTATTTCAATTTTTATATGGGTGTTTATTTTACGGACACCAGTTATCAATGTAGTTGAAGATTGAACGATCAATTCTTGGTTGTTTGCTCAGAATCAACTTCCCCAATTTTCGCGGAGGCATCAATACGACAGTCATCGTCTCATCGGTCGCTGTTCAGAAAGAAGAGTGAAACACCGTCAGAAGTAATCTTGTGATTTATTATTGTAATATTTGTTCACAGACCTTAGTCAAACGTGATTTATATGTTGATGTAACAATGAAGAAATCTCAAGCGGCCAATCGGTGTTTTGGTTTTTTCGTCCGTTATTACTAAGCGTTTCTGAGAAACTTCAAGCGACAACGTGAGCCCGAGCGTAGCAAGAGCTGGGCATTAACGGTTTACGAGACGTGGCTGACACCAGTACTATCACAATTCTTATATAACTTCTCTTTTTGTCTTCTAAGTTTTTTCAGTTGCAAAGAAGTGATTCTGTCAAATCTCGAAAACAGTGTTTCCTATGGACAGCAAATTTCCAAACAAAACTTCAGATAATCGGTTATATTAGAGACAGTAGCATCCAACTTATCGTCAGTAAATAGTTCCCAGTTTGTATCATGCAACATGCTTCTTAATGCTAGAATGTTGTCATGGGAATATGAACGTTCATATATCTTCTTTGTTAAATGACTAAACAATTTTCGTTGTAACTTGCCGTACACTTTCGGTAAAATACGATTAATGCAGTGGTCAGAATTTAGCAAAGGAGCTCTCCTTCAGGTTTCATATACATCACGGTCATTTATGAAAACCAGGTCTAGTGATTTGTCCAGACGTGTATTAAACTTGACTAGATTCTCATGACCAAGTGAAGTAAGAAAGCTGTGATCACATAGATTAAAATCACCACAGACTATAGACGACGAGTTTCCGAATGCAGGAGCAGCGAATTCAGTAAACTCATCTGCAAACATAACTATATTAGAAAGGCTACAATGGGGTGTTATGTAAATATTTGTTATATATATATAAGAATATTTACTTAAGTGTTTTGGTCGACACCTGACGGTTATGCAATCTATATTGTCATTAGAATAATTGAAGCAAACGTGATTTGATGTAGACCAACTTGTGTTTATAAATATGGCTACCCCTCATCCATATTTTTTCTTGGAACTATTTCTATCTTGGCGAAAAACTTTATATCCATTTATTGAAACTAGATTATCATCATAATGCTGGTGCAGCCAAGTCTCTTGTATTGCTAAAACGCCAGCATTTCGATAAACATTGGAATACATTAGGGATTGAAGATAATCCATTTTGTTGGACAGGGATCTACAATTAGTGCTAACGAGTTCAGGAACAGTCATTTGATTGATTTGTGTACGTTTCAGTGCGCGCTGCCAGCCACAGTGATGCTTTTCTCTCAATTTTTGTGGATGACACAACGCGGTAGGTTGTAATGATTTTAAAAATGCGCGATTATATATAATACGATTAGGACACATTATTGATAAATTAAACCAAAATTAAAAGAGGAAACCAAAGCAATTTTGCAAAATGTTGTAAGGTGGAATTTTTGGTAGCCCTATGTTCAAGCAGGCCGCCGGGTCCGATCACATCTTTTTTCGCTTCGTGTTTGCCGTCTCTGGAACGCTTTACCGGCGGCCGTGACTACAGCGCCATCTCTGGAGATTTTTAAGCGGAAGCTAGACAATCATGCAGAAATGCAAGGTTTGTGTCTCAATGGCTTATCCTCATAAAACTTAAAACCACACTGTCAATGGATAAGCGTACAAACTAAATCCCCACGACCTATTCTGCCTCCTCTCACTCTATCTTTTCCTTAGGTCACCTTTATTATTCCACTTATCTCAACCTATATTATCTACACTACAACCTATTATTATTACTATTCTGCTTTTATGACTACACCGAATGACCAACGGGAGTTAGGTCAAACCCCATTCACGGCAGCAATACAGTCCTAACATACTGCATACTACAAACCACATCTCGACCAATCCCCGCACCACTCCTCTTGGAGTCTACCAGAGCTAAAGCAGTCGAGTGGCGGGACTTATTACGCAGAAGCTCACCGAAGATCTGGAACCTCTACCTCACAATCAAGAAGCGAGCTCAAAGAAATCACTGGTTTATACTAGCTCGTAATCAGGATATTGGATATTAATGAATTTATATTCCCTGGAAAATTCACCATTGATACACTCAGGAAATATAAAGAAATTATAAGACATATTTTTTTAGGGTCATGTTGTCCTGAAAGAATCCTGGCATATACACCAGACTAAAAGGCCAGATGCCTTATCGTATGCGGCAGCCATTGATAATTGATAAGTCGTTCGGACCATTTTGAAGGCTGTAGGTGTTTAAGGTCATTGCTGGTATTTGGGATGTTTCGTAAACCTCTCATAAGCCGTTAATTATTTTCTTCCCACTGCGGATTGTATTTAATCATCAGAATTCGTTCATATATGCTTAATGCTCCTATTCGGACTGGCTTACGTAATCTGTAATGACAAGTAATCACGAAACATCTGGTGATCATTATGTGGATTCCATATGCATTGGGGTTTCAAAAATTTTGGACAGTAACAATTCCGATGAGGAAGTTTCCACGGAGCCTACTGCTTATCCTTCTGTTTCAAATGATATAGATAGTGATGCCTACTACCCTATTGAAGAACCCTCTCATGCCAAGAGAGTGCTCGAAATAAACCCAAAATCTGTTGTGAAGGATTCGAAACATGGCACCCGTCTGGGCAATTGGAGACGTGGCTCCGACTTTAGTAAAAAAGCTGTGTTCGTGCAGCCGCATGATGGGAAGTTATTCAAAGTTGTTTCGAAGCACAATATGAAAAAAACGAAACCTCCGGTAAGTCTCTTCAGCATTTCGGTTTTTAACCAGTCCTTTGGTGTTGTTTTGAAACTGACACCTATCTGTTGGTTACTTAATCTACATCAGCAGCACGTTATTATGTCAGCTTTTACCTTAGTAATAGTTTATTGATAATGATTCTCCTGGGCACCCATTCACATCTGTACTGCTGGAAAAGCTTTTGTGGTATATTTTGGATTGTTTGCATTAAAATTGTCATTTCCTAATGTCAACGTCATTTACCTTACCTTGCTTGCGTTTCCGTTTGCATATGATTTCTGCTGTATTAGATCTGGGTGCCGTTGTGTTTGCATCTATTTAATGCAGCGTGATATCTGCACATGAGCCATGTAGCATATTTACTTCTTAAGGTCTGGAAATCCCTAGCCTTATATGTGGTTTTTTTTCTCTCGGTTAACCATGGTGTGTATTTTAATCGATTAAAGATGTCTATAATGTAGTAAAATGCTGAGAATTCCATTCTGTATCACAAGTACTGTTTGGGAATAAAGCAAATTATTATTATAATTCTGATTCACTATAATTTAAAACATTGGTATTGTTATTAAAAATGGTCTTTTAATCACCATGGCCGTATAAATTTAGAAGCTGATGAGTTGATTGGAAAGAACGTGGTGTACATACCATGGAGATCTACAGATGCAAATATGCGATATATAGCTCTATAATATAATCCTAATATTTTCGGGTGATTTACTGTTATGTATGTGTCGACATAAATTTACAGTAACAGAGATGTTTTCCTTTAGAAACCAGGGTTGGTGTGCAATCGCTGCTGCACACATTATATAATATTGGCACATGTAAGTACATGGGTGGTACTTATGGATTTGATAGCGTGCACACTGATTTAAGATTAATCAGCTAATATATTTTAGGCAACTGCGACCTAGTTTTTAGGTTATTTTGAGATATTGTTCGATTATATGTGATGGTTGTATAAGGCTTATAATAATAAGACATATAATTTGCTTATGTTTTGATATCACTCTCAAGTCTTGGCTGAACCACAATCATCTCGTCTTTTCAGTCTGCTTTTACATATATCCTTTAGCCAGTTTCATTTAAAATCAGTGGGATGCTTAAAAACTTCAGTTTGTCTATGATATCGCTGACAGTAATCACTTTTGGAGCGTTGACATATGCTCTGAATATGTAGACGTGAGACGTACAAAAGATTTATTGGACAGTATGTTTGGTCATTATTGTTGTCTGGGAAGATAAAAGTGATATTTGTAATTTTGAAAGGAAAAGGAACAAATGACTGGATGAAAATGGGATTACGTTTTTTCGTTTCTTCGCAGCTGCCATTGTTTATAAGTCTTTCTGTTCTCAGCTTTCAACTTTAGTCACCTCGTCACTAGTAATATTTCATGTTCAGTTGAGGGTTATAGAACGCTGATAGTTTTCTGGGCGAACGAAATCATCTATGGAATATCTTTGATCAATACTAAGCGAAGATAGGCTGACGCGTTGGCTTCTAACGTAATTAAAATTCACCATATATCTTGTCAGTTAGTGCCGAAACATTATAACCAATATACAGTGGAAAAGTTTGAAGGTGCTATGGCGAGAAATAATTACTAATTACTGTCCCATATATATATATATATATATATATATATATATATATATATACAAAAAATCTCAATCACCTAGTAATTTCTGACCTACGAATGTATGATGTTTTGTCTGCCGTACCTAGAGGGTCCAGTCAAGGAAAGTAGATTTCATCTCACTACATAGACCACCAGTCAACATTCATGTATCTTTGTTTGCTTAATCCTAGATTTCACTAAACTAATACGCATTCAAAATCGACTGGGAGTCTTCTACGGTGTTCTATGCAAAGGTAGTAGGCTTTTGTAATTGTAGCTACACTCGTGACAAAACTGTCACAGTTTTAGTTTCTTATCTGTTTTTAAGCTCCATTTAGACGTTTGATTGTTATTTTAGTCAAGATTAAAGAAATTATATTTGTCTAGTTAGTTTGTGTTTGTAGGAAGTCATTACTCATTCGAGGGTTGAAAAAGATTTCAGTGCTAGTTATTTTTTAATATTTTAATTTCGAAAATGAAAAAGTATGTTAAATATAAGAACACAGAGAGAAGAAAAATAAAATAAACCTATTTAACGTTATAAGTGAGACACAACTTCCAATGCACCTGATCATTCGTTTGAGGTTTTTTATTGACTTTGCTGTTCTGTCCACTTTCCCCATTTCTGTTTAACTTCATCATAGATATGCTGATGGAAGTATCCTTAACTGAACGTAATGACTTAGGAATCGACTTGTTACCAGGGAATAGTCTTATGGACTTAGAATATGCAGATGACATAGTCCTGTTAGGGGAGGATGCTGACAAAATGCAGAGTCTTCTGAACACTTTGAGCAGCAATCTCCGTATGTTTGGCATGCGATTCGCCCCTACAAAATGTAAGATGCTGCTACAGGACTGGACCACGTCAACTCCTAACTTAGTGATAGGGAGTGAAGTGATAGAACATGTTGACCACTTCACCTATTTGGGAAGTTGTATTAGCACCAACGGACTGATTGGCGATGAAATCTCAGCACGGATCCGAAAAGCTCGAGCTGCTTTCGCTGACTTACACCATCTCTGGCGTAGGCGTGACATCCGGTTATCAACCAAGGGACGTGTGTACTGCTCAGCAGTTCGCTCCGTCCTTCTCTATGGCTCTGAAACATGGCCAATACGAGTTGAAGACATGAAAAGGTTGACTGCTTTCGATCATAGATGTCTGCGATCTCTGTCTCACGTTAGGTGGTTTAATAAGGTAAGTAATGTTGACGTTAGGCGTAGAGTGTTGGGCAAAGAGGGAAAATCAATCGACGAGGCTATAAAGTTACATAGACTAAGATGGCTAGGTCACGTGCTGCGCATGCCTAACCATCGCCTCCCCCGACGGGCATTGCTAGCTGATATAGGTGCAGGTTGGAAAAGGGTAAGTGGTGGCCAAACAAAAACATGGCCTCATCAATCCATGAAATCCTTGATAGTTAAACTGAGTCAGGTAGGGAGATGCAGACTCCCGGGTTGGGGGCCTCGGGACTCTAGGAATCAATGGCTGGAGACAATAGGTGACATGGCTCAAAATCGTTGTCAATGGCCAGCGCAGATGTATTCAGTCTCTGTAATCTTTCATATTCCTTTCTACCATTACCCATTTGTTTCACTCTTATACTTGTCAAACTCTATTGATTCTCTTCACTCATCTTCTTGTCTACCTCTGTGTGCTATTTGGAACGTGGCAACTCGAACTGGTGCACTTCGGTGCCAAGTTCTATGTTGAATCCAGACAGACAGAGACAGACTTGGACATCACTGTCGTTACCCAAAGTTGTTATCAACTTATGTTTGATAATTCACACAACTTTGATGAGTTGCCATCTTGATGTGATGGTTCTACCTGAATATCACCATCGCCCAGCCAGTTACATTCGCATGTCCTACCGTCCCAGAAAGGCAGTTTAGATAACAGATTAAAAGCCGTTACCAACATAGCGTAAGTTATTTTAGGGTCTTAGAGCGAATTTATACTACTGGCTAATAGGGATGCAAGAGTGAGGTGTTTTATTCGGACCTTCAACAAGTCAGTTATGCAATGTTTCAGCCTTGGGAAGGGGGTTAGAGAAGGCTGAGTCAAAAAATCATACCTTACCGTGAAGCGGTCCGTAACTGGTGGTTAGTTCCAGATACAGTTCTAGAAACAATTTCAAACACGTCATGTATGAAGAGTTTCAAGCAGTTGTCCTCTTTACTCAGAATGTAGAAAAGAGAACCCAGACCTATATCTCCGTTTAATATTACATCACAAGGTAGTACAAGGAAGTGATGGTCCTTAAGACAAACTTTAGTAAATTTGAATAGGGATTCATCATAATTAAGGTTTTTGTATTTCCCAATGAATGAAAAACAAAACGACATTATTTTTACTGACGTTTCGTTATTTAATGCTAATAGGTATAGGGATTGGTAAGGAAAACCTCGTTTATTGATTGAACACAGTTTTTTTTCCTTTCACATTCCCAGTGGAACATAGGGCTTCAAGTTTCTGTAGCAGTGTTTATTTTTACAGGATGGGGTTGCTAGCCTCATGCCCAACCTTTCCTCTTTACCAGTCTTATTACTGGCTTAGCCAGGTAGAGGAGTGCGTCGGCTGGGGATCGAACCCCGCACCCTGTGCATGGTCGGCGAGCGTCCTAACTGCTGTGCCACCGACGCACAAAGTACTTACAGTAAATAGAATTTTAGATCTCGTTACACAAGAGGCGGCTATCGTAGCCCAGGTGGCCTAGTGGATAACGCTTTGGCGTTTGAAACTATGGGCACTGGGTTCGAGCCTCGGTGGGAACATCATCACTCACTAAGGAATGCAGCTACATCCAGATGATGAGTCTCAAATAGGACGAAGTGTGCATCCTGGATTCCACTGCTAGTCACCATCCACTAATTAACGTCTACTTACAGTAAAGAAAAAAAATACTTATTCCAGATACCTGGAAACTATATTGGTGTTTCTGATGGATAAAAATGAAAATAATGCTCTTAAAAGCTATACTTGAAAGTTATGAAGTTACTTTAATCAGTGTGAAGAATAAATTGCAGTAAGAAAATTCTGCTTCACTGTGATACATCTAATAAATGAAACCAATATTCAGCTGCATACGATTATAATGTTTAAGTTCTACTTCTGTGTTCAAGCCATGTTTGTTTTGCTGAAACCATGCTGTAAACGGCTTAAAATGTTATCAAATACCTTTTAGACACTTCCATGACAGTAAATTTCTACTTAGAAAACCAAAGATAGTATACAACAGATCATCTGAGCTGAATAAAGCAAGGTACCTTTGTACTATGAGTTAGTCCACAACTTTAGTTTGATAGTGAGTTTCACATTCAATTATCAATTCTGTGGTACCATAGTTGTATGTATTGGATTGGAAATTGACTAAGTTGCGTCTCGATACATTATGTTTGGCACAGTACTTTTGCTAGCTCCACAAAGGATGTAACTAACGGCTACCACGTATGTGCCACACTATGTTAAGTAAAATGACCACCATTATGATATACACATTCCATTCACACTAATTCTCAGTATTACTGATAATTTTATTCATTCTTTTTGAGGTAATTAACAATATAGTCTGATTGATTTTATGCATGGAAGGTAGGATGCCAATTAACTCGTCAACGATCAGTGGTAATCTCTGTAATCTCTGAACATTTCGAGTTAGAAGTAATTTCTTCTGCTCTATGTATATGTCAGTCAACGTTTCACCAATCGTTAAATGCTGACTTGTGATTAGGGTAGTTGTTCCATTAACCTTACATTTTAACGTATTTATTCAATCCTCCAACTATTATACAAGGCTGAGTAGTTAGTACTATAAAAGATTATATCCTTGTGTCAACGCAAGCTTAGTTTTCAAACGTCTATTTAAATTCAGTTTACTACTTTCGGGGCTGATTTCCAAGAGAGAATTCAAAAGGGAAAGCAGGAAGCTTAGGTTTGTCTTTGATTGCCTGTTGACTATTTCCAGTTCTAGTGGGCTTACTATTTTTTAATAGGAATCTTTCGCATCCAGCATTTATCATGTATAATTGGTTAGACCGAAGAAAATCATAAAAAGCAATTTTCAAAGATAGATCACATATTTAATTTCTGTAACGTAAGGTTCAGGATCTATGTTTTCCCTCATAAGCTAGTGGTTGGTTTAATATCAAGTATGCAAAAATGAAAAAATGTTATTCAACAAGAATTCGCATTTACATGTGCACTTACTGTTGAGATTGATGTTGCTCAAATTTCGGTAGAGGAAGTGGAGTTCAAATCTGTGATCAGACCGCTGAAGTTTAATCAAAGTTGATTCACGTGATCTGCGTAAACTGATCGATGTAGAAGTTCGGTAAAGAAAAGTTACTTCACCCATTTCTTTCTAAGAATCGATGCAAGACTAACCAAGGAGTTGAATAACTTGTTCAGGAAGACATTGTAGAGTACGAAACATTTCACTGTAATGATAATAATATAGTCTTATTACTACCCAGAATGGTGATCACTGTCATTTTATTCAGATTGTAGGGGTCCTCGGGGCGGTAAAAACCAATGGATGGAGACAATCAGTGATATGGCTCAAAATCGTTCTCAATAGCCGGCACAGATGCATCCACTCCTTTTGACTTGTAATACCCAGTGAAGCTATATTGTTCTTCGTTATTACTATTCCTGTGTCTCATATCCCTGTCTACTGTCTCTATTATGCATTTCTTCCACTTTCTTTTCTTGCTTTATGTGCTACATGGAGGGATTGTGGCGACTTGAACTGCTGCACATCGGTGCAGCAGTTGAAAACAGACAGAATAAGTGGGTATATTTTTAGATTCGGCTATGCGATTTAACTGCAAACATAACATTCAGAATGTTAAGTTGTTATAAACTTATATACCCTATTCACTTTACTTAATGTAATAATTCCATACTCTTATAGTTAGTCATAAGTTGATAATTTCAAAAAAGACGAGTTATTAGCGACTCTTTCTATCTGGCTGTTGATGTCAGACTCACGGTTTTCCATTAGAAGTTAAAAAAAGACAATGCAATAAGTTACAACTAACCAACAAGGTTATTAAGCCTACGAGATGAGTAACCCATTTACCGCTAGAATCATAGTTACTTCTAAACAATAAGACACAACTATAAGCAGACGCAAAGCTTCTGCAAGCTACTCTAAAATAGCAACAGTACTTGGCATGGTAAAACTTCTCTAAAGTAATAAAAGATGATTCATGAAGATATCACAAACTGCCTTTCTATTTCTTCAAATCTCTTCTACTCTAATAATCAAATCGCCGTTTAATGCTACGAAGTTACTCATACTCAGTCCGGACTATTTAAACTATTCTATTGGGGCTTTGAAGATGCTAGAAATAAGGGTTCAGAAACTTAACGGTTTGTATGAAGACTTACTTAAGTAAATCAAAAATCGGTAAACTTTATAATTCTTGGAATTCTGATTTTCGTTTTGTGCTAATTTGGAAAGAAACTTGTTTGGAACGTACTTTTCTAACACAATTTCAGTGCATATTCCTAATAGACAAATAAATAGAAAGCATAATATTAATCAAATTAACCTCTATAGTCTTAAATGCATATTGTGTTCATACTTCATTAAATCCACTACTTGAATGAAATAAAGACATTTTCGTACGGATAATTTCTAAATGAGTTGTGTAAGTTTTTTGAATTATAGTTGCACTCATTTGTCATATGCTAATTCTAACATTGATTTCCATATAATCGTCACAAATAGTACGTAAGTTCTTAAAGTTAGATACATTGATGGCTTAATCCTTAGGGCTGCGAATTGAATTTGCAACGTACAACTTTGTATAGAAGTGCAGCTATTCATAAAAAAAAACATGAGTTAATAAAGAAAAAAACTGTAAAGAAACTATAACGAACACACGTTCATGGTAAAAAGAATAACTACATGGGGGACATCGAGAATTTGATGTAACTAACGCGTGACATAACATTTTGATTCTCCTGTATCTCCCTGGGTAACCGAGTCACTTTGGCTGAAATCCCGACTCCTCTCCCGAAAATGCCGGGTTGTTGGTTGCTTCAGCATAAAATTCGTTCTTTTTCGTCTTTGTCAGTATTTCCAGTGGTATCTCCTTTTTATGTTTTTGTTGAATCATTCCTCATTTTTACAAATGTCTCTTTCTGCTTGTTGAAACGTATATCAGTGTGCATTATGAACAGTAAGTTTATTATATTTCATTGAGCACCACTAAATATCTTGGGGGATTCTGCTGATTCATTTTAAAGCCTTGATATCAATCCGTGATCAACTCGTAATAACATAACTAACCCTTACAAAGCAAACTACAGAAAATTAATCTGATGCTCGCCAGTGACTTGCTATAGGTTGGAGTTTCCTGAGTTCTAGTGAGAAGTCGTGATCAGTGAGATCCAATTAGATGTCAGGTGTGTGGATGTATGTCCCACCAACGAAAATTGTTGGGGTCGCGCTAAATCACGAATTGGTAGAAGTTAGAATTCATGAGCCATTGAATCGGGTCACAGTGGCTGAATGGTATACGAGCTTGTCTTGTAACCGGAAGGTCCTGGGTTCGAAACCCAGTGGGTGTGTACTGCCGATGATTCCCAAACTAGGGTGAAACAGCAGCTGTCCAGTACTCCCTGGTTTTCAATGGTTCTCTAACTGATATTAATCCGTGATCAACTCGTAAAAACAAAACTAACCCTTACAAACCAAACTATAGCAAACTTAATATTTAAACTGAACATGTAGTATTTTGTTGCTAGGTTTCTAGTTATTAGATTACATTTAAAGTGGATTTCTTCACAAAAATATGTTGGTTAAGGAAATATGAACTTTTCGATTATGACTCAGCTGATTAGATTTCAAATTTTCCCAACACATTTGTAACACTTATTTTCTGAGTCATTGAAAAGTATGGAATTTATTGACCGTGTTATGGTACTCTTAGGATCGCTTTGGAACTAATGATTTCTAGAGGTTACTCTGTGGAAGTATATATATATATATATTCCATGAATACTACTCAAGAAACGGATATTGTAGTTACAAAGTGTGGTGACTGCCTACGTTCACTTCAGACTCTTGGTGTTTAGGCATAGCTTTTTATGTAAATTTACTAACAACAGACTGGGCGTTATTATTTATGTATTTGTTTTCACAGTATCTGTGTCATTGGTTTGACATATTTAATAGTTAATTCATTTTTATCCCTCTTTTAGGACATCAGCAAAGAAGTTGCCCAGTGTCGGGAATCTCATAGTGACTATCTAGATTTTTCTAATATGAATCTTCAACAAATCCCTAATGGGATATTTAAAGATTTATCTTTTATCAAAGATTTATTTCTTTATGGTAATAAGTTGACTGCATTACCAAGTAGTATTAGTCATCTTACAAATTTACGAAGGTTATTATTACAACAGAATTGGTTAACAGCTGCAGGTCTACCAAATGAAATTACAAAACTTACTAATTTGGAACAATTGGATTTACGCTATAATCGGTTAGATGGTCCACTACCCACGTGCATATGTGGATTGTGTAATCTGGAACATTTACTTCTCACCTACAACAAATTAACGCATATTGTAGATGAAATAAAATATCTAAAGGTAAACTATTTTTATTAAATTTTGCTGAGTGTAACTTCTTGATTGCCATCCCTTATTACCTAAGCGATGTTCTATTAGATATCAAAGGCTTCTTTTGAGTATTTGATAATACTTGATACGATGCGCGTATATTCATCTCTTTAGGTGAATAATTCGCATAAATTACACTTAGTATAATCTATTTGATTCTTGAGGGATTCACTTCCCATTAATTCTTATTTTTCCTACATTTCAATCGCTGACAGACCAACACTGAACCTTGTAAGAGCTCGCATCATTTCAAATGTTTACATTTAGAAATTCCATTCCAAAAAAGAGAACAAAATCCTAATGTTAGTACAATGGAAAATATGATTGTGATTGAAGATTAGTAAAACTGTTCTTATCGAACCTAAATTTCCGAATTCGATTGTTGATAAACACTCGATCAGATATGAAACTGGTATGATTTCCTTAGTTTTGTTGTTTCCTAGCGCGTATAGTCTGACAATTAGCATTTGTCAATTTAAATCTGTTGCGATTATCACAAGAGGAATGTTTCCTCTCTTTAGGACTGTGACAATCAAAATAAGGATACTGTCTTATTCTCCTGTTGCGAGTAAAATAGTCAGTTTAGCCGGTGATCCTGGCTTACCATCTCTAAGTATCTTTGGGAATACTTTGCCAGCTCCTGCTCTCGATCGTTTTTCTCAACCTGTTTAAGCGTTGGGGATTCTGTGTTGATGTCATATTCACGCTGCGATTGACTGACTTGAGACCAGTTAAAGTGTTCCATCCGCCTTGGTCCTGAATGAAGTGAATATCAAAAATAGGCAAACAAAATACGATACGTGAACATTAGTTGGGCATTCATGATTGATTTTGAAGGTGTCATTGGTTGTGTCTACGTGTTAATTAGGTAAAAACATTATTATTAATTTAATTTACGTCCACCAGGAGGGGGGATAGAAACTTTGTTTTTGTTAATCATGGTGATGAACAATAAATTATGCGCGAAATTTCATCCAGTTGTTAATACTGCATCACTGTGTGATATTTAAAACAAAGTTTGCATCTCAAGTTTCTAACAGAGAAATGCTGAGAAACGGTAATGAAAAAGTATTTTTATTCAAATGTCTAATCAATTTTATATAAATGAAGTAAGCAGTTGTGTGAGTGCATTGATATGATTATGAGCAATAGTTTGTGCTCGAAATGTCATCAGTTAGTATTACTGTATAACACTGTGTGATTTATCAAAATAAAATCTTATCTATAATTGAGTTATGCTCTAGCATAGTGCCCAATTTTTATACTTAATCTTGGTGATGTCGAGACATCCGTTTGAGGAGCATATACACCAAAATAAGGTTCATCAATTCGGCCCAGATATCATCAGGAAAATCACAAATCTGTGTAAATAATTTCAGACCACACTCGTTCCACAAAGGTAGGTGGCCTATTGAGTAGCGCTATGCCATTTGAAGCGTGGGCGCTAAGTTTGAGTCTCAGCGTGCACACTGTCGCTCAATGAAAAGCAGGTGCCCACTAGTCTCAAATAGTGATGTTGACCACCAATTAAGTGAAGTAAATATATTACTCTGAATGATTAACCATGTTATCGATAATGAGATGTGGTTCAATCAATGTGTTGATGTTTTTTAGCTGAAATTGAACTGAGCATTCATTGATCCAAAAGCCTAAGTTTTATCCACCGCATTAATGAATTACAATAATTTTAGTGTATTTGTGTTCTTTGAGCTGGACACTGATTGCATTATCTATCTAGGCAACATCTTCAGATCTGAATTCAGTGGGTAGTTACAATAAACACAAACTGTTTATGTTACAGTGAGATTATCTCTGATAGTTTGGTTTTCAGACTCAGTGATGTAGAATGGGACATAATAAAGAGTGAAGTTAAAATCCAGACCATGACAGTATCTGAGCTCACCGGATACAGCATCTGATTAGTAATTCTGAGGTCGCTGGTTGGAATCCTATCGTGACATAGATTTTCATTTTTCTTTCAGTTATCACCAACATAGTGCTAAAACAAATACTTATTGTATCGTTCTGTTTTAGTGGACCATTGAGATTGGCAAATATTGTTGCTTTTGCATTTCTGTATATTCCTGATAAACTTGTTAATGTACCTCTTTGTTATTCGTCTTTATTTAGCACCTGTCTGTATTGGTTGTGAGCCGGAATCTAATCCGACAAGATTTACCTAGCTCTATTGGAGAATTGACAAAATTAGTAAAATTGGACTTATCCTTTAATCACATCACTTTCTTGCCTGACAGTAAGTCAGTCATTCCAACTACACTTGTTGCTGTTGTTTTTGTTATACGGGGACATTTGATATATGTGCCAAAACTTAATATTCATTTTCTTATGGGTACTGACTGAATATTTTATGGAAAAGTAGTTGGTTATTTTGTTTTGCCTTGTCTATATAGATCAGTTTTGTCATGCAAATAATTACAACATGTTGTAGTCCATTGACCGGCTATTCAACGCTTTTGTAATTCAGATTAAATGCTGTCACATATGTGAAATAAATTAGTCATATATATATATATATATATATATATATATATATATATATATATAGCTTTACATGGAGGTGTGTAAAGTCTAGGTCATTGTTTTCGCTGAGAAAATCGTTGTTTTACTTACTTAGGTAAATTGAATTTTGTTTTATGATCAGAAGTGTACAGAGACGAGAAATTCACTTAGCGAACATAGTGAAGGTTGCCAGTAGTTTTCGTCATCAAATTATAGATGAAGTTGTTTCATTCAGTTTCATCACCAAACGTCAATATTATTTTTAGTGACCGCCTAGTTTCTCAAGAGCTTTTACCGCGGATTATCCTCCACAGCTATTTTATAAACTTTTAGTAGGGGAAATGTAACCCTTTAGCCGAAGGACTCAACGTTCAGACGGAAGCCCCAGGGTTCGAGTCCTGTTCCATATACTTCGGGCTGGGCAACTAGATAGTATTATCAATCTACACGTAACAATTGTAGCTCATGGCATGGTATATGAAATATATGTCATAGATAACTGAGTTCTAACCATTATACAAATTTATAGCTCAAAACTGTAACCATCGTGTATGCGAAAATCCCGCTAAGGTAAACAAAGTTGAAATCTTGTTGTCGCTAGAAATTACTCATATAATAATAGACCAGGAACTAAACTTATTGTATATGAGACTTGGAGTAGATGGAGTGGGGTTTTAAACCCCGAGACCCATTGTCCGAGAGTCAAATGCCTCGGTTACTGAGTCATAATCTACACAAGTTAGAATCATTACACTATTTCAACTCTGAGATGAGTTGATACGAAACGTTTGTAAATAATTAATTGTACTAAAGCGTTTTCTATAATTACAAGTTTCATCATGTACTGATCGTTGAAAAAACCATTGAAAACAGAGAGTACTGGGTGACTGTTTCGTCCTTCTTTGGGACCATTCTGGGGCGCGCACCCATAATCTAGTCTACCGGCTAGGTTTCTTGGCTCTCACCCAGGTGGCCCGGGCTCAACTCCCGGCGCGGGAGTACTTTGTGCATCGGTGGCACAGTGGTCAGGACTCTCGCCTACCATACACATGGTCCGAGGTTCGATCCCCTGCCGACACACACCTGATATCTATGGTCGGCCTGCAAAATTTGGGCCACCGATATCACATGCTAAAAATTCCATACGTGTACCAAAAAATACGGTGTGGATACAAGCTGTAATAAAAAAAATCTCGCTGGGAATCGAACCTATGACCTGTGGGTTACGAGGTGGGCCTCTTGACCATTCTATGGATTTAAGCAATTTATTTTATTTAATTCTCTATGATGATTCTTATCATTTATTATTAAATTTTACAGGTATTGGACAGTGTACCTCGCTCCGTGATCTTAATCTTCAACATAACCAATTGACAAAGCTTCCTGACAGTATAGGGAATTTAGTCAACTTGTGTAGATTATCGATCAAGTGAGACATTTTTGTATTTGTGTGATATTCTTCACTTATCTGTTAACGTATCATGTGATCACTAGTATTATCGATATTTTATCGTATTCAATATTTTAAGTGGGCAGTCCTTTTTATGCGCGTGCACATAGGTCAGCAAAGAATATTCCCTTCGTAACTTCTTCAAAACTGTACAGTTAAAAGGTGTTTTAATACGTCAGGGAAATGCCCATGAGGGTCAGTTGTTAACAAGATATATGAAATTACAGGTCAGGGAAATGAATAAATTATGCATTCTAAAAACATCAAATGCGACTGTCGCTCAGAAATGGTTATCATTATAACTACAAGCTCATAAGAGTAGGAGATCCAAAATATTTATAAGGTATATTTGAAAACTAGGAGATTGGAAGGAAAGATTGATTTGACATGCATTACACACAAATTATTGTACAACTTAAAAGAAGGAAAAGTTATGGTCATAGTCGTGAGACGCATTAGATAAACCGATTATGTACACACAGTTCACAGTTTTCCTTATGTTATAGCAAGAACTACTGTGGGCTCATATATCACTTTGAAGAATTTTTCGATGAGGAATGATTTTTAAGGACAAGGTGCTCAAAAATTGAGCTATTGATATGTCTAATTTCTTTGGATCACCATATTGGGAGATTTTCATGTGCACATTTGAACAATATCCTACCATGATTATGGCCTAATCAAGTGAACTGATGTAGGTACCTTTATGCCGGCAAAAGTAGAACATATTCCTTGACATTTTAATGAATAAGAGGTTGTGTGGAAAAGGTAAGATGTAGTGGTGCGATGGAGAATGTTTTCCGAATCTGCTTTGAAGAATTTCAGCTGTTATTATTATTATTATTTCGCGTGTACAACTAACTTTTTCTTTGATACTTCTGTGCTTTTATGGATTACCCATCTGAAGTTTCATACGTTTATTCATGAATGCTGGTGAATAACCATTTTGAATTAGCGTTATGGAGACTCCAGTTCTCTATTTGGTGTGTCTTATGGGCATATGTGACTGATTCTTATCATAAGGTTTCTTTTTTTACTTGATGGGATAAACAGATAGAAGTCATTTGGCTGCCTGTTGCATTTTGGTTTATGGTAAATTGATGTATGTGTTCTTTTCGAAAACTGGACATCTAAGAAGGGAAGTCTTCTTTCTGACTCAGCTTCTAAAGTAACAGCAACTGAACGATAGATATTATTACAAAAATAATTATTTGACGCTCGCTAGTGGCTGTTAGATGAAGGTGGAGTTCTGGTCATGACCATTGGCATCCACTCGGTTGGGGGTGAAGACAAACACTCGCCGATGACACTGGCTGGTGGTTGCGCTAAAATCATGAATTGATAGGAATCAGAATCGGATCCCAGTGACTAAATGGTCTGCGAGGTGGCCTTACTACTGAGAGGTTTGGACTCGATACCTGATGGGTGCGTACTGGTGATGAGTCCCAAACTAGGACAAAACAACTGTCCAGTACTCCTTGGTGGTTTTCAGTGCTTCTTTAACTGATATCAATCCCCATTAAAACTTGAGACAAGTCAAATCCCTACAAACTAATACTTGAGGACTACCAAAAACTTCAAGGATTTTATTTAGATCAGCATTTTCACAGAAAATGATGGAAATATGATGCACATAACGCAAGTAGGCTTGGAATTTATTTAAAGCTGGTTGTGGAGTGCTCGTTTCTAGGTGTGCCATAAGGTAGTTTGCAAGTAGTGGACTGAGTTGAGGACCTGATAGCCACTCCGTCCTTCTATCGATGTATTTCACGACTAGATATGTAATTTGTGACGTAACCCTCATCTAATGCTCCTCGCTTTCCAGTGGTTCTATGTTTGATATAGTCAACATTAAAACAAACCAAAAACTTAAAGAAACCTTGAATGAAACACATAACATACTTCATTTCAACTTGATAATAGTAGTATTACATTTCTTTTTATTTAGTTTATCTTCGTTTGCTTTATTCAATTTTACGACGATAGTTTGTATGCTTTTCATTTCTTTTTGTTGTCGTTTCGATCCCTTCTTGATACACAAATAGACGGAAATGAAGCAGTGGGGTTGCTTGGATCACTATGCAATAGTAGCGCGTTCCGCAGTTTCGCATTGTTCACTTATCGTGATGGCAGTCTGCTTAAATCGTAGAGCTACCTAATTTTCTGCGAAGCATTATGCGTCAAAGATACTCATATATTAATACACAGTTATGCTTTGTTTTAACCACCTATTTACGTCTTTTTAAGGAAAATCTGTCCAGCTTTCATTATACCACACTGCATCTTTTAAGATGACTCAAACACGTTCTATACAGAATGAAATTTAGGCGAATGATATATGCTGTAGATTATTTTTTTTACCTGAAGATTCTGTATAAAAAGTAGATAAAACCGATCTTAATATTGTGTACTGCATATAAACAAGTTGTTGAGAATTATTAAAAAGATAGTTGCAGCGATGAAAATTTTCTTTTCATTGAAGTCATCAACTAGGCTGTACATTCGCGTATTTACAGCCTAGTTGATAACTTCATCGAAAAAAAGATTCCCATCACTGCAGCTGTCTTTTTAATAATTCCTATGATTTAAGTTGTTAAGACTAAAGTTATAAATATATTATTTTGTATGTCCACTTTGAATTAGCTGTTGTTAGTTTCTGCTTTGACATAAAACGTATCCATTTTATTAAAATATTCAACGGTTAATTCAGTAAACGGTTTTTTCTAAAATCGTGTGTAATTTTAAAAAGATATCATTAAGGCATGCACTCTGTTTGGTTTAGTGGAATGAATGAGTGAAGGTCAAGTCATCTGTTATTTTCATCGAAAGAGGTGAATTTTTAATTTCAAGTTCCATCGTACCATCTATTGAACCTATTTATCGTTAAATGATGTTAGCACTATTAGTGTTTATTCCATATTTGGCTCTTCTTTCATTTTAATTGTGGTTTTATGAAATCTTCATTCAATTAGTGTTAAAATCGTATTGTATTGTAACACGAAACACCAAACCTTTTGATGTAGAGGTCAACTATTGTACTTTTTATATACAGCTCAGATGTGTAATTATTTATTTGATTCATTTTTGTACATTGCATTCCTATATTACATACTTTTATTAGCAGCTTTACAATATTTGCTTATCAGTCACGTACAAGCTGTTTTCATTCTGATTCCATTTAATGTATTCTTTAATGCATTTTTATGCTCACTATATAATATTATTAGTTATTATTATTTGTCCTTTGCTTCAGTAGTGCAGCGCATTTTCATTTGACTCGGTTCTCTACCGTTGTTTTTTAACTGGTTCACTCCCAGGGCTACCCACAGGCTTTCATTACATTTCCATGTTACCTCATCTAAATTACCAATTTTGCAGTCAACTACGGGGTCCTAAACCGGAAGAAAAGGGGAAGGTTGGGGCTACCAAAGCAAACCCAGGAGAAAAAAATCAATCTTTACGGAAACATTGAGGCGCAGGAAAAATGTAAATGTAGTTAACTTCATTTGACATTTGGAATTTGAAATATAGCATAGAAATAATGAAATGATTTGTAGCTCAATTAGAATTTTTCGGTGTGTGTGTGTGGGGGGGGGTTGTATTTTCTGAGCTGACTGGTTTATTTACGAAGCTTTCATTGTCCTTTCAGATATCTTCAATAGTTACTTCAATGGGGAACGTGGTGGTCTTCAGTTTGACTGGTTATCCCCAGGAGTTTTCTTATCATTTGTGATAATTTGTATTGGTTTTTAACCACTTTGCGGTGTGACCTATTCTTATTGATTTATTTATGTCATGTGAAGATTGCTCTGAGTACTAGATTTTTAGGAATTCCCTGGCACTTTTAGTATTTCCACTGTCGAAAATTCTCACACCTTTTTCGCAGTCAAACTAGCATCCACAGTTGTCCACGTGTATTGACGTGAATGAATGCATGCTATGCCTTTTGACGGTTAGTTTTTGCTCCTGGGTTCGAAATGGAGAGGTTCTTCCACTTTGTCCGAATACAAATTATTTTGCGCAGTTGACACACTTTATCTTGTAGGTGGTATTGATCTTGTCTTTTACTTGCTTTTGAGTCTTTGACCTGCATATTATCGAATGAAGGTATGAGTAATTTTTGTAAATCTCGTCATCAGATATTTTTCCTGTAGCATTATTCGTACTTTATCTGTGAGACTAAATGCATATATATATATATATATATATATATATATATATATATATATCAAGAGTCTCATGGGTTTTTATCGATTATGGCTAAATTATAACGGTAATGACTTCCTTTAAGTAATACCAACAAGTATTAACTCACTTGTTTACATTCTTTTACCTGATTCCTGAAGTATAAGGTGAACTAGATTTCTAACATAATTCTAATTTTCTATTGAAGGTATAATCAGCTGGTAGAAATTCCTGCAAGTTTGGCCAATTGTGTAAAACTTGATGAATTTAATGTAGAAAACAATCAGTTATCCTCTCTTCCTGTAAGTTAACGGTCTCTTCTTTCTATACTACATGTTGCTTGTGTGGGTTTATCTTATCGTCTGTTGTAAAATGCTTGGCAGTCATGCGAGGGATCCAGATTTGATTCTTAAACCCCATCCAGTTTACTACCGTACAGTAAACCCAGCAAAGGCGGAAATTCATGCGTAACGCTAGCAATCTCACCACGTACTAAAGAACATCATTGCTACGGCCACTTTAAAAGACTGAAGACCTGTATTCCTCTGGGAACTCAAGGAATAGAAAGAGGAAATCTTAGCGTATAAATATAATCAGATGTCTTACCACTGTATAATTTATTTTTCTGTCCGGTCTGTTTGTTATTTTATTATTTTCTGCATATCTGATTAAGTGGTAACAATTTAGTGTAAACAGTAATGCATTCTGTAATGCGATTGTGTAAAATAATGCGAAATTGGAAAAACTCTGATTTAACGAATGATTGCATTAAATGCATCTCTATAGCAGGTCTCTTAAAATGGTAGTCACATCGTTAGCTGGTGGGATAGACTTCTGTGATCACCAACGCTCAAGACTAGACACGTGACAGCATTTAGCGCCTCCAATAACTAGTCAATATGGCTGTTACAGTCCTGAAGAAGATCAGTCGTAGTCCCTAATAGCTCAGTGGTAACGTCTATGATTGCAGTGTCGATTGGCGCAAATTGGAATTTCAGGGGACACCAATCCTTTCAAGGTTGCAGATATGCCCTATTGATGAGTACCAATAAGCATGAAGCTCAGGGCACAACTGTTTGCGTTCGGCATGAAGTTGTTTTTAGTATTGTGTCCGTATGAAGGTTTCCTCGTTGACCTTTTCTAACCTCCACCATCAGAAGAGTGGGGAGACAGGATAAGCTGATCCGATAGAAACACTCTACTACTGTTGCATCTCTTCACGGACAGTAAGACATTGTCTTTGTTGCCTAACATAGTGTATGTGAATTTCACTACAGGGGTAACTGCTTTTAGTCTAACTGTTATTCGAACTGCCTTTCTAGGAGTGTAAAATCTGCAGGTACATTCGTTCCAGTCAGTTTAGCTGGTCAAGAGATTGCCATATTCAACCCCGGTTATCGATTTAATGTATTGGCTATCAGTAGGAACTCCTTAAAATCCTGGTATACGTATTACCAATTACTCTAAGTTCACCAAAGTCGATTCACCTACATTACTTAAGCTTTTCTCTTAAATGGACATAAAATACCTTAGAAAGTTTCGTTACTCAATTATTGTTTTGGTTGTCTTTTAAACTGCCTTACTAATGGGACTTGTGTTTACTACTACATCCAACTTGAGAATGGCTCTGTAACTAATATGTTTAAACTTTTAAGTTGTAGTCTGCTTTTTACTGAAAGTTTCCATTTTACCACTTGCGTATTCAATGTTTCGATATGTTTGGGAATTTAAGTTAAACGGTCTGGATTTATATTTATTGCCAATTGTGTTTTATTACCTTGCTTTTCAGCATAATCTTCTTTCCTACTTACCTAATCTACTGAATATCACCTTGTCAAGAAATTATTTTACAAACCTTCCCTCCGGTGACCCACAGCAATTTCAAAAGTGTTATGTAAGTTATTATTATTACTGTGAAGGGAAATATTTAATCCTTATAATTATTGTTGTCAATTAAGTACATTATCTATTAATTTACCTTACAGCTTTTTTGAAATACGAATCAGGTGGAGTTAAAGAATGATGATTCAAACGAACGAGCTCAAGAACAACCTTTAGGTGGTCTATCAGAGTTTGCATAGGTAATAGTTTAGTCATAACCGGTATATTGGATTCATTACATATAGTTGACGCTGCTCAGGATTTAGGGGTAAGATTTCATCCAGAAAAGTGCCTTAAACTAAATCCCAACCAATAATTCCTAACTCTAACCCATCCTTACTCTTAGCCTAACGGTCATCTTGCATGAATCTACATCTAACCATGGACTGACACTAATCTAACCCTAAATCTGTATCGGGGTAGGTTCAGTATCCTAATCCCAAATGGCAGTCATTCAGATTCCAGGGAATACTCCCTAGTTTCCAATGGTTTTCTAATCGACACCACTTCGTGGCTCAACGTGAAGCTGTACTTTATGAAGTTGTATGAAGATGGAATTATGGAACTCTCAGAGACAATTGTAACGATCTCGTGATCCATTGGCTTAGTGGTGAACGCTTTGACGTTGGAAATGATAGTTGGTGGGTTCAAATCTCACTGGGCGGTGCAAATGCATCTAGCTGAAGAGTCCCAAATAGAACGAAACTTGCCTCTTGGATTCCAACGCTAGCCTTGCATCTTAGTTCACCAGATGGCTATTTAAATAGTGTAATCCTGACCCTGTCAGCTGCTAATAAATGTATTTATATGATGCACCTTTGTTTGCAATGAATGTAAAGAAATCACGGACTGTTTATCATTTCATATTTGAGTCATTTCACACCCAAATGACTTTATATCCTCTCTCACTTTATAAAGTTATTCTCTATTTTAATAAATTGTTTCGCATTATATAACAAAGCCATCTTAATTAAACAGTCTGATTGTCCGATAGATAGATGAATGGACAATGCGCCAGTTAGTCACACTGTTTCCCTAGCTCCTTTCCTCCCCCTCCTCCTCTCTCTTTCAATACCAAAAATTTTATTGGTTGACCAAATTCTGTTACCTATTCTCTATCGTTTTTCACATTGCCATTGAGTAAAAAGTGTAGTGAATTAAATGTAGCAAGCACCTTATAGTTAGTTGTTAACTTTTGAAGTGGTACATTACTTCAGGAGCTCTCTTGCTCCTAACTAGGTGGCCACGTGTTAAAAACTCTCCTCCTACTGTTGCTTGGGTGGCTAAGTAGCATAACTAGCCGTTACACGCGCGATAGGTCTGATACCTTGCCAACTGCACGAGTAACATTTATCTGTAACAGAATAATTTTATTTGATAAAACAGTGATGGAGTATTGTTTACTTACTGATAAAGTTTCGAGGTCAATTTGTTCTTCATAATCATATCAAGGTGCTCACGCTACTTTTATTATTTGTCATCCTTTGTTTTTATTGGTAATAGTATTTGACATAGCTCTGGTATTGGTGTTACATCATTCCTGCTTTGCACTTGTGAGGTGTAGATTCGATTCTACCTACTTATATTAGTTTTTTAGAGCTGCATGTAGCTCTGTCTCATTCTGTTGTGTGATTGTGAGTCACTGTATGCATTGTAATACCTGAATTTGCTTCTAAGTTAGCAATCCTTTAAAAATCAATATTTCTTCCCCATAAGTAAATCCGTTCTAACTTTCTTATAAATATGTTAATTGTTTCAGAGTGTTGATCACTTTAGCTGAAGTAGATATTACACTCTGTAGTAACTATTCTGGCACTCTGATTTCTCAAACGGTCTCTAGACTAAGACGAATGAAATAACCTCTTCTCCGCTTACAAGCGGGTACTGTCAGCTTGCTGTGCCCAGTTCACGGGTTCGTTTTTCCAGTTTTTTAGCTGCCTTGTTAAACATTCTAGGATGGCTAAGTAGTTATTACTGTATGGCTGGGGATTAGAGGCAGTCTTCAAGATTCTCTTGGACCTAGAATTCATGCCTACTGGGACTCGATTAAAATATGATATAACAGTAACACTCACTGCTAATAAAATGTATTGTTTTTGGATCGTTTTGTATGACTAATCTTCGTCGTATGTCTGTATATCTGTATTTGTAGCAAAAGACAGTGTCACTAGCTTTTATAAAAGAATCAACAGTAGTAAAGATCTTGGATTTTCTGCTCACCTTGACAGCTACTTTACCTATTAATCGTCCAAATGACTACTAAAGCCATTAATCTCATCTGGTAATTCTTTTCACTAACTAACATCTTTGGAGAAGAATATGTGAAGAGGAAATAAAAGCTCGGTGGTAATCACTGTGCCGCATGAAGAAACGGCACAGAACAGAATAGTGTAATGATGTGCTGCTAAAGCCCTAGGTTCTACTTGGAACCCAGGGGACGAATTAGAATAGTAATCCCTGGTTTTTCAGATAATCTCTCACGTGCTATTATCGGGCCTCATACAATAAGTGTAGTTTATAGCCTGATACACTTGGGAAATCTATTACGGTTAGCTGCAGTCAGCATAGGGTAAAAATTCTAGGTCACCGTTAATTTTGGTTCAGTGCTTCTCTACTGTGTAGAGGCTTGACGCGTCTTGAAAACTATTTCCAACAGTTTACAAACAGTTGTTTTCGCTCTATGTTAAAAATCAGGTGGTCAGAAAGGGTAAACAACATAAAACTCTGGTAAAAAACCAACCAAGAATCTATCACCCAACATATATGGCGGAGATGGAAGTGGATTAGACATACGGTGAGAAGACCGTTAATTGATACCACTCTACAGCTCCTTGAGTGGTACTCGAATGAGAAATGATGAGCTGGACTTTGGTCTGAGGGTGACATGGAGGAATTCATATGAGGTGGAAATGAGACCTTATAGGCAGCTGTGAAGTCTGGAGGAGTGCTACTGAAGACTTATGTTCCACTCGGAACCCAAGGGAATGGACTAATATAATATTACAACTGAATACGAATACACGTTACTATTATTTAAAGGGGTGATCAAAAGTGTATTCGTAGGCATATATTTCGAACTTTTCATCTTCCACTGTTTGTTGAAACAGAATTATGGGCATAAAATTGATCACATAGTCAACTACGTAACTTTCTTTTCTCTCAAAATATTGGGACCTAGCAGTTTTATGTAAATAACACTTACAAAATCCACGCATACAATCCAGCTTTCTGCTCAATTTGTACAATAAACCATTAGGAGGCGAAAGAAATAAAATGTAATATACGTGATGTGCGATTCTTTTCCCCTGCAGGCTACTTTTGTTCATTTCGTTAACTAAATGATCATGAGATGGTAGTATCATGTGCTCTAAACCTCCTACTCATGTGATATGGTATGTTCTGGTTTTTGGTTCGTTGATTTATCATTTTGAATGTCCGTACTTATATATATATATATATTGCCCAATGAAAGTCATGAAAAGGCATGTTTTTTTCATTCTATGTCACAGATATTTTTATCATCACACTCCTTTTCTCTCATTTTACAAGCGTATGTTTAGGCTAGATTATTTTTGAGGATGGCTGGTAGTGTAGTCTTTGATTTTTGTCGATGAGTGGGTGTTTTTCGTACTAACAATCTCAGGCGTAATTCACTACGCTTTTGCTAATTTAAGGAAACTGGTATTTGTCTATAGACTAGGTTATATTAAGTGAATACAAAAACCTTTATCTGCTGTACATATGTGAGCCGACAGTAAAGCTCAGGTATTCCTCACAAAAGTGAAAGGCCAGATGCGAACGTCCGGCGCTTACAACTGGACTGGTGGACATGCCGGCCTACCTAATGGAACTGGAAAACTTATTCGAAACCTACGGTGTACATTTGCTCCAAAATCCGAACAGGTCTAATGGTGTATGAGCCTGTTTTAGCCACCGGAATCTATTGGAATGCATGTGTTGATGCCAGTCCACTACTACCCTGTGGATCAGGCTTCAAGTCAAAGGTTTGGAGGCCGCCTCTTGAGACAACCACCTGCTTTGGTCTGACCGTACGAGTGGTATCCTAACCTTCGGACACATAATGAGACAACATTTTTTATGGCGCCTCAGGAGGTGCCTATAACCTACCAAGTTTGTTTTAACAATAAATTTATTGTCTTTAAAATGATACATTGGGGAGTAAACTTAAAATGTTTATCAGAAGACATGTTTTGATTTCATTTTCAGTAGGTAAAATATTGCAATTCATGTTCACTTTTTTCTCTCGCCCTAAAAAAGTCGACATGATTAAAATTATTATTTAATTCGACATAGTGACAAAAAGATGAAACTTATAAGGGATAATAGTTTTTTTCAAGTGTTAGTTTGTAGGGATTTTATTGGCTTCAAGTTGTATCACGGATCAATGCCATTTAGAGAACCATTGAAAGCCAGCATGGAGTACTGAATAGTTATTTCGTCCTAGTTTGGGACACTTTATTGGTATTCACCCACGACCCCACCAGTGATCCGACGCAGTACGTCCAAACTGAGAGGCTATCTCTCTGACTACTCAACCACTGAGAAGGAATCCAATGGCCGCCCATGAATTCGTGATTTTTAGCGCCACCGCCAGCCAATGTCAACTTGAATAATAAAATTTGCAAGTGTAATAAGAGGTGAATATTAATCACCTAGGGCATGGAAACTAAAATACTATAGGATTAGAAATATAGTAGAAAAATACGTAGAAAAAGTTTTTTACCGATAAAGAAACATTATTATTATTGCTCCCTTGGGTTCCTAGTGGAACATAAGGCTTCAACTGCACGTCTCCATTTGATTCTGTCTTCTGCTGTACTTTTCACCTGCATCCATGTTAGTCCATACTGTTTCAACTCCTATTCACACGATCTCCTCCATGTCACCCTTGGACGTCCCACACGCCGCTTCCCTTTTGGGTTCCACTCGAGGGCTTGGCGCGCGATGTCACCCAGCAGTCTCCTCAGCGAGTGTCCGATCAATCTCCACTTT